CTTCTCCCGATTCAGTGTGACGCTTCGGAATCGTCTAGTTGTACAGAATGTACAAACCGCAAAGTGCGGTGTCAGTTTACTAAGGAGACCAACAGACGCATGTCGTCCATCAAGTTTGTGCCGCAGCTGTCCTTGGTGTGGAGGCCATGTCATTCTAATTGGGTCGTAGGCAAGTTCAGGACTTAGAAAAACAGCTTCTGTCAGCTAAGCAGCAATTACACCAACTGCGATCGGGCATGCTGAGGCCGGACAACCTGATCGATCTCGACGTTGATGGAACCGGACAGTCCCAATTGAGGCTCCCCGACATCGAATATCGACCGCCCCGTCAATCAAGGGCACCCATCTCCCAGGACCTTACTGAAGTTCGAGTCAATCTGCGAAATTACGGAAGAGGGATCTTGAAAGTACCAACGCCGTATCGCCAGCCGGGTCCGAAATCGCTATTGGCATCCGATCCTCCGCCGCTTCCGCAAAAGGATGTCGCAGACCGCCTCCTCGCGCAATATTACGCATGTATTCATTCTGTTCTGCCAGTCCTTCATTGGCCCAGCTTCTTGGTGGATTATGAGAATGTTTACCAGGCTGGTTCGCTCCTAGGTGTCCCTCGAGAATGGGCAGCCGTTTTGTTCGGTATCTTCGCTTGTGGTTCTCTGCACACGCTGGAGAAGACTAGAGAGCATGATGGTAAAGAATTCATAAGAGTCTCTTGCGGAGTCATTGATGTCTGGAAGGACAACTTCACCTTGGATCAAGCGCGAGCTGCCCTTTTGGTCAGCATTTTCCTCTTCGAAGTCAACGCAAAGTCGGCCAGCTGGGTATGGATTGGGTCTGCGGTGAGAGTGGCGCAGGAGATTGGACTCCATCTTGAGTCAGGACCGTGGTCAACTCTCGAAGGGGAAATGCGCAAGCGGGTATGGTGGGGGGTATATGCCTGGGATAGGTATGTATCTGACCAAATTATCCACAGTAGAGGATCCTTGCTTATTGATTTTTACCTTGTTAGGCTCCTCGCTCTAGAGATGGGAAAACCTGTTCTCATCAATGATCAAGATTGTGACGTTGATCTTCCTTGTCCAGTCGACGAGCAGTTCATCTCGGAGGGTGGTATTGTACCCGAAGGCCAACAGACTACTCCACTCCTAGCCACGATACACGTTGTTCGGTCGATTGGTCAATTGGTTCGAACGTTAAGAAGCTCCACAATCAGTCCAGCAACCTTGGAAACCTTTGAGCGACATTTCCACGCCTGCCTGGATACCTTCCCTACACAATATCATCCAAAGTCCGACCAATACCTCGATCCCCGCTCTATTCTCCCGCTGATATACTTGCAAAATTCCCGTCTCATCCTCTATCGCCATAACATTTCTCCTTTCTGTGGGCCGGAAGTCCGGTCATCGGCACTCGATTACTGCGTTTCAATTTCTCAGGACACCACACACCTTCTCTCACGCTGTATGCAGACCCCCTCGAGTCTCCATAGTTACTCTTCGCCTACTGGGAATGAAGATTGGCGGCTACTGTTGGCATCATCTGCGGGGACCGCGCTGTGTACCCACATCTGGCGTTGTGTGTTAGTGCTATTGTTCCGCCAGGAGTACGATGCTGCGCTGGTGTGTATTCGAGCAAGTGCTGTGGTTGGGGACTCTCGCTCGGTCAATGCGGCATGTGGGCGATATATTGCATTCTTCTTGAAGTTCCTTATGGACCGGCTACGTCGGCCCGACAGTATGGACCTTGAGGGGGATGAAGATATGATAGCGTATGTGTCAGGCGACATGCAAGGCACAACTGATGGGAGCTGGATATGGCAAGGCAGTGAGACTGGCTCTCAGCTGGAAACATTGGTCGACTTCGGTAGTCCAGTCCCAATGCCGCATCCTAGTCCCAAGGACAATCTATCTACCGGAGAGGTAGAAGATTGGGAAGGTTGGGACTGGATTGAGCAGACAGTTCAGTATTTAATCGGTGAGCGACAGAAGCGGCAGCGGGAATATAACAGAAATGATGTGGAGCCTCTTTCAAACCCAACAGACCCTGCATTCCTGAACCGCAAGACTGCAGCTGGGGCTGACGAACCCGCGCCTCAACAACAATCGACCTCATCCCATTCACGCATGACAATCGCAAGCATCATCTGATATCAGGAGTCTGCTGCTTATAATTTGTTATTCTGCGACTACCTCATGCTGGGACTCACTCCCCCGTCGTCAGCTTTTGGGTGGACCAGGAAACCATCGTTGGTCAGAGCTCCCTACAGATGAACTGTTTGTGAGGACGGTACCTAGTAAAGGACACGGGAGCCTAGAGCGGCTAAAGTTTTCTTTATCATGAAATAGAAAAAAGGAAGGAAGAGACGGGGCGGACTGTATTATCTATCTGTATTATTTGTCTAGATGACGGGTCCAGTGGCGCATCATGTGAAACGAGATATGTCTTACGACTGAATCCTGGATATCCATATACGATATGTTTGGTTACAACGAGCTTACCACCAAGTTGCATTTAGTGTTGTAGTATTGACATTGTTTCTCTAGACTATAGAAGACTATAGATTTGTGTTTCATATACAGTGATATCATGAGCTCCGTTTTGATCTCTATTTATTAAAACGATACATGTTAAACCATCCGGGATACCGACGTTGCAGAACAACGACAACCGTTTAAACCTCCAGATTAATGCTCCGTCCAAACCGCGCATACAGCGCTACCTTCAACTGCTGCAACTCCTCGCGCAGGTCACCTAACTTGTCCTCCAGCCCTGACACCTCGGAGTCAATCTGCTCCGTCGATGACGAAAGCAGAGACTGGGCATCAGCAAGGGGAAGTTGAAAGAAGGAGTCACCAATTTTGTACCTGTTCATATCAGCGCCATTTGCACGTAGGAGAGAGCCAAAGGAGATGGGGAGTAGGAAACTAATAAATACTCACGGCACCAATTCATCCTCATCAGCGAGTTCCAGTTCCGTAGAAATCTCCTCGAGATCCTCCTTATCCTTCTATTGAATGAAACCTGGATCAGTATACGGACACACCACGTAAAGAAACAAGACCTCGCAAGACGAGAAGATACTACGAAGCGAAGGGGAAATCAATCGACAGACAAAACACCAACCTGTTTAGCCTTCAACTGCTCCTCGAGCAGCGATTCACGCTGGTGAAGACGACTAAAGCGGTTAATCTTCTCCTGGTCTTCGCGACGGACTTCATTCTCTTCTCCCGCTGCGGAGACTTCGTCTTCTTTGGAGAGCTGTGCGTGATTTGTTAGATTGGTTGGTTGTGCGCGTGAGGGGGGGGGGGTGGATTTACCATGCGATGTTGGATCATTTTTGCTTTTGTTTCTTATCTTGGGCTGGGGGTGAGGGAGGAGGGGACCGAGTTGCTTGATTTGTAGATCTTCGTTGGTAATTTGGTAGATGGTGGTTTCGGTGGGATAGGGATCGGGTTGGTCTGTGCTTGGTTTTGAGCTCTTGGCTTGGCAAGGGCATGGTGTAGTGGACTTGTTGTTCTACGTTTTGGATTTTGTTCGCTTTATGTTATGGTTGAAGTTGTGGGTTGTATTTTTATGGGATTTATCTGTGTCATTTACTTTTAAATGGCTAGTACAGTATGACTTTTCCCACTGAAGGATTTTGTAATATTAATAGAATGTCCAGGACCCTAAAGTTCGACTGGGAGATATTTATACGAAGAAAATATAGTTTTGCCTTTTATTTTCTAAAAGCAAGAGCACCTTCAACAACTTGGCCGGATGGTGTAGTTGGTTATCACGTATGCTTAACACGCATAAGGTCCTGGGATCGAGCCCCAGTCTGGTCATTTCTTTTTGCCCCCTTATCATTGGGTAAATTGATAAACCAGAAGCGTCTTCGGTCCTAACAAAATTCTCGGGTACTTGGAAGAGTGAAAATATTGGTGTATTGTAAGGGAACTGGACGCCTAAGAAATACACCTTGGTGCGCTACGGAGTACTTATGTGGGTTTAGGGGTGCTCGCAGTCATCTGCGAGCAATGTTAGCCTTTTGGTTTGGACGGATGCTAGCCTTAGATATTTACCTGTCAGTGTATACACTACAAAACATTTACTACTCCACAGGTACTCCGTACTCCGTCTCTCTGTATTTTTTTCGAGATTGTATACGTGCTTCCGATGATAAAATGGCCGGAAATTGCCCATACACTAACTTGATATTTATAGCTTTTCTAAGCCCTGCATCTCTACTTGTTACACTAGTTGCACCAACCTGAATCGCGATCTTACACTACTACAGCTACTAACAGGGATAATTGATGTTAGTTTCTTTAGTTTAGGTTTACTTTAGTTCCTCGCGATTAATTTGTCCTTTCTTGTTACTGAGTATGTATTATTGATAGTAGATCAAGTCCGAACCACTACAGAGTACTCCGTAGACTAGTCATATATGCACCAGTTGGCCCTAAGTTTACCCTGACTAGACACGATGAAGTGCTCCGTATAGGGCCCGCTCTATCCAGGTTTGTATTAGATTAGGAACAAGACAGTCATTAACCAGAACATCAAACTAGTCGCGAAGGGAACCCCTGTATTACCAAGACAAGGTAACGAGGTCCATGACAAGATGGAGGTCATAGCTAATAGTAGGTTACCACGCGCTCTCGCCGGATGTGCAGTACATGGATGTATCCTATATCTCTGCAAACGGTTCGCGCGCCCAATATCTAGTTACCATAGGTTTCAATAAACAGAGAAAACAGACCTGTAGGGGCGTGTCCATAATGAATAACACCTTCCGAGAGTTCGGCAGAGCAGTTCATTGCCCAAACACGATAATCGGTCCGGGAACCGTTGACGGAAATAGTATTGACTTAGGTTGAACAGTCCGTGTACTTTGTTATTCTAACCCCAGTAACGTTACTTGAACGGCGCGGTTTGTTTCTTGCTTTCTTTCTGGTTTACCTTTTAAGGTTACTAGGGGAAAACATACACAGGCTAAGGGCAAAAAAAGATCCATGATCAGGTCGTGCCCGGACTCGAACCGGGGTTGTCGGAATTTCAGCTGAGCATCAACTTGATGTATGTTAGTATGGAGGTTGATCTTGAAGTGCAAATTAGGAACGTACAATCCGAAGTGATAAGACCGCTACACTACACAACCAGTTGTTAAACTACTTTTGCCGTTATTTAGCAGATGGAACTGGACTGTCCATTACCATACACACTCGATATATCGATACACTTGAAGTCCTAGATACTCCGTACAAATAATACAAAGGTGTCAGTCGCGTGACATCATCATCGGTCTTGTCATGTGCGCTCTGACTGCAGATCGGATCTTGGTACGGAGTATCTTAGTCATGTATATAAGATATCTCATTACCAGGATCTTTACGGAGTACATTTTGATATTTTCAATTTCACACAGAAACCCTGCTGAGGTGACTTGTATGATTTCCAGGATTAAGTGGTTGACGTTGGTCTCGGAGAAAAGAAAGATAATCCCGAACGGCCACCGCATGGAAACTTAGCATATCCCAGCCTTCCCATTAACCACAAGTCCTCACCACAATACGAAGTACACCACCATTTCAACTGACTCCAGCGGGTCCGATCTCTCCAACCCCATTCCTTTCCATTTTCCAGCTGGGCCCCGTCGTCTTTGGCACCATAGCAACCTGGACCTTGACGAGACTGTACACCGACGTCTTTCCTCTCTCTTATCCTCACATCTACATCATGCGAATACCAACTAGCCTTTCGTCGATTCTACTTACCTCCGCCCTTCTACCCAGTTTTAGCGTAGCAAGCGGCTTCGACTGCGCCCACATTAACGCTGAAGGGTTCAAATACGACCTAAGTCCGCTGGGCGGCGTCCACTCGCTCTACAACGTTGAGAAAACAGAGGAACACGTGCTGAACACTACCTATGTGCTGAACATATGTAATATCCTGAAGGGGGCTTCGATCAGGGGTCATCTGAAGTGTGGGACATCGAAGAATAGTACGTTTCTCTTTTCCCTTACCCGTCTTTATTCATAGATGTAACAACTCGTACATCGATCATTCTTCTCAAAACTTAACACAACCAAACAAACACTCAAAAAATAAAAATAAATAAATTACTGATTGGTGCACATCAAAGTTTGCGGATTCCAGTACAAATATCCCATCGACGGCTCCGAGGAAACAAGCCGTGCCTTTCCCATCGTTGGACTCGAGCATCTCGGTCACGGAAGCAAAGACCCCGAAATCACCCGCTTAAACAAGCTTGATGCCGCCGAGGAGGGTCTCCTGGTCAAACTCTCCGGCGGCACTTATGTCGATGACGAGGGGAAGAAGAAAGACGCGCGCGCAATAGTCAAGTTCCAATGTGACCTCGAGCGATCAGGATTAGAAGGTCTGAAGACGGCCAATGACGAGAAGATAGAGGAAGAGCGGAGACGGAGACGGCGCGAAGAAGGTGGTGATAAAGAACAACCGTCGGATGAGGAAAAAGACCGGTCGCAGAGTCTCCAGTTTAAGAGTTTCGGTAAGGCCGATGATGACACGTATGTGCTGAAGTTGGACTGGAAGACGAGGTACGCTTGTGATCATTATCTGGAAGATAAGAAGGGCGACTCGTCCGGTCACTGGGGCTTCCTTACTTGGTTGATTATTATGTATGCTTTTTCTCCCTACCCTCCCCAACCCCTCGACTGTTGGATGTGAGCTAATGGTTGTTGTAGTCTCTTCCTCTGCATCGCCGCCTATCTCATCTTCGGCTCCTGGCTTAACTACAACCGCTACGGCGCCCGAGGATGGGACCTCCTCCCACACGGTGACACCATCCGGGATATCCCCTATATCTTCCAAGATTGGCTTCGTCGGGTCATCAACACGCTTCAAGGAACAGGGTCTAGAGGGGGATATAGTGCGGTATAATGAAATGTGAGCGTAGCGTCGGTTTGTTCTGTTCTATGTTTTTGTTTTATTTGACATTGGCTTTGTTTCTACAACACGGAGGAGACCTTGAATGCGGTACGGAGTCTTATCTCAGAAAAAAATCTGAATGGTTGTTGCAGAATGGGTTGAGTTGGTACTGTACGATGAATGATATGCATCGGTCTGACCGGGCTTTTCACTCTATACATTATATAAATTTTGAATAATTAGACATTTATTGCAGAATGAGAAGCAGGGACGAAGTGTCTTTTATTCTAAAATTCGATTCTATATTTGATGTGGTCTTGGTGATCTAGTAGAGGCTCTAAGGGGAAATTGATCTACTAACGCGACAAAAGTGTTACGCAGAGTCAAAATCCACAGGAAGAGAAGATTTAACCTCCCAATACAACAGTAACCAAAAAAGAAGCAGGGAAAAAACGAAGACAAACCACGATATAAAAGAGAAAGAAAAGAAAAAGAAAAGAAAGAAAGAAAGAAAAAGGGCATCAACAAACGAAAGCGTCAAATGGCGTCATCAAAGCTAAGATCTCATCATGATCATCACCGGCATTGAAGAACAAGAAGACAACGGAACCTAATAATAAAAAGTGGATTTGACCCTGTCCACGACCCTGTCCGTCCTTCTGCAACCTAAATTCTTCTTCATCTCATCTTCTTGCCTTACAATTTCATGGCGAATTGCTTGAGGTACAAGTAATCCGCCATGTTCTCGTCTACGGACTTACGAATTAAAGCAGCGGCTTCTGGGCCGTACTTCTTGCGCCATTCGGCGTCGAATTCCTCTTCCGTCTTTACCGGACGACCCTGTTGATTGTTCGAATTAGTGCTTTCCCCTTGGAATGGCTATGCTGCAGACTTACATGTGTCCGGGCTGTCAGGCCCTTCGATTCGATGGCGTCGTTGTGAAATCCCCTCCACTTCTCGAATGCCTCGCAGACCTGCTGCTGCTCGGCTTCGTTGTTCCAGTCCAGCATCGACGGGTCATACTCGATGCCCACGCTGCGGCAGAACGCCTCGATCACCGGGCCCGGTTTCTCGAGCATATCGTCCGCATCGATGACGCAGATCTCCGTCGACTCGTGGGTCTCGCCGATCCCGTTGACCACGGGCTTGAGCTTGTTGTCGATCTCGTCTGCGTCCTGCTCCTTTGTCGCGATATGGGGTCCGATCAACTGGACGCTCCGCAGGTAGTCGAATGTCCGACGAACCTCGTCGTACCCTGCCTCGGCGGGATCATAATAATAGAACCCGGTGACGTCGTCGAGAGGGGGGATGGTGCAGCGGTAGTATGAGGGTACACTGAAGTGCGGGTCCCGGATGAGGAAGGCAAAGTGGAACTTGGAGAGGAGCTCTTTGGGCATCACGGTGGGATTGCCTGGCTCTGACTCCGTGTGGTACGGGTACGGGTGCTTCTGGGACGTCTGCTTAGTGCTTCGTCCTGATTCCTCATGGCCGTTGCACCCGTTCTCGACCGTGTGGCTGTTGGTTTCGGTGCCTACACCGCGCTTCAGTCTATCTAAGGATGGAGCGATGGTGGCTGGCTTCCCGCTTGGGGGAAGGAGGTAGTGTATGATGTCTTTGATGAAAACTCTCTTGCCCTGTGGTCCGGTAAGTGACTCGATCTGGAACACAAACGAAGTGGCAAAATGAAAGCAACGGGGTATAACCGTTGGGGAAAGTGTACTATCTGCCATCTAAGCGGGTCCAGATCGGACGGTCTATACATGTGCTTGAAGTCATAGAGGGTGGAGAAGGAAAAAGAAAGGAAGAAGAAGGAAAAAAAAAAAAAAAAAAAAAAAAAGAGCAAGGGTCAGACCTCGGAAGCTTCACGCTCGATTCTATCCATCACGGTTTTGTAGGTTGACTGACTGAAGCCGCTCTCTAAGCGGGCTTTCTCATCGTCTTGAAACCTAGTGGCCAGTCTCTCCGGGCCATAATAGAAAGCATCACCAAACGGCTCATGGACACACTGGATGGTATCCCGCCGAGTCATGAAGACCTGTAACGATTAGCAACCCCTCATTCAGATAATCGGAATAGATCGGAATATCATACTCGTTCAAATGCTGTTGAGCATGCGCGAGGGTGAGTCGCGACGAAGATGGGCCTCTGCGACATCTTTGCAAATACAATATATTTCTAAAGGGGTTTGAAGAAATGATGAATGTAAGACTGAGCGACACGAGCGTCGTTTCTAAGTCCTTGGTAGAAAATTCTACACTATACGGACGACGATCTAGGTGGAAAGACCGTGGGTAAGGTAATTTCTGAAGAGAATCCAATCGATGTAGAGGTGAAAACCAGATCTTTGGAGGATGACACCGAGTCCAGTCGATGAGAACTAATGTTTGAAAAGCAGTGACAAGATAGAAGATCACGAGAGAGAGAAATAGGAAGTGTGTTGGGGTTCTTATAGGATTTTGATAGGACGACCGTTTTGGATGGGATGAGGGGGTCCAAACAAAATTCAAAATCAAATCAGATCAAAGATAATCATATAAAAACGGAGTTTTTTTTGGGGAGGGGGTTTTTTTTTTTT